CTCTTGTTTGTTTTCCGGAGCTGATTGCGTCCTTTACTTACCAAAGTCCTAATGGCTCCTGACATGTGAAATTACAGTAACAACATCAGGATACCGCACAAGGTTTGTTTTTCCTCCCCAACCCCCCCTGCCTTGCTGAAATCGATTGAGGGGAAACAGCTTCCGCTTAAAAGCCAGCCCTTTGAAAACCCGTCCACATCTGGCAAAATTCCGGGTAATTAACCCAGGGCTTGCGAAGCAGCGATTAATTTCAGTCTTCCATTTTCCCCACCTAAGTGAGTCTTTCTTCCCAGGCATTTGGGTGGCCACTGTGGCTGCAGAAAAACTGTTACTGTGAATGTCCTTATTAGTAAAAGTGCATTGAAAAAGTAAAGTGAGCAACCAAATGACTTGGGAGAATTATCACCGGTGGGTGGGTGAGGGGATACAGTAATCTGTAGCAGGACCACATTACTGGCAGTACAGAGAGAAATGGGCAGCACAGCATTTCAGAGTCTCAGAGCTTAATTGGAGAATGAGCGCTAACATTTTGAGCTTCTCAGTCTTGCTGTAAGCGCTCACTTGGTGGGCAACAAAATTTGGGGGATGGAAAATCAGCAGCTAGGCTCCTGTCCTGTGTCTTGTTCGCTGCAGTTCACAAGACTCCACAGCTTAGAGGGAACATTGGTCAGCACCAGTGTTCCCTCTAAGCTGAGTGAGCGTGAGCCAGCTCACTGGTTTTTTAGCCTCCGGCGCACACATTTTTGTCTTGGCTCAGGAAGGGTGGCTCCAGAGCAAACTAATTTATGCAGTAGCCGAATCGCTCGCTCACAACTTTAATGCCAGTCGCTCACAAAGTAGAATTTTTGCTCACAAGACTCGACAGCTTAGAGGGAGCATTGGTCAGCACTGGATATAACTTTCTGAATAAAAATGGTTAACCTGGGAGTAAACTTGAACAGCACAGCACATCTGTACAGACATTACTTTGGGGAGGAAACCACAGTGCAGTGTTCTCCGCTCTGTCCCCATGTTGGACAGAAAAATATCAGCTGTTTCGGGAGGGGGGAATCCTGGCTTAGTCCCTGTTTTGCATGCAGAAGGTCCCAGGCTCTGTCATTGCAGTTCCAACTCAAGGATCACAGCTTGCAAGTGTTTGGGAAACCCTTTCTCTGCCCGAAACCTCAGAGAGCTGCTGTCAGTCAGGAGAGACACTGCAGTGAGCTAGATGGACCTTGGGTCTGACTCGGCGTAAGGCAGTTTTGTATGTTCACGTGTTCCCTTATTTGGGTAAAGGGGAGAAGCCAGCCAGTGTCTCTTTAGAAAGGGGCAATTTGCCCCCAACTGTTTCTGCCCAGCAGAACAGAAGCAGTTACATTCTGTCATCAAACCCTTCACGTGGTCTTTTCAAAGCAACCCCGGGGCTAAGAGCAGTCCCAACTATTCCTGGACTTTCCTACTCCGTGTTCTATTGACCTGTGCTAATACAATAGATAGAGGGGGTAGCAGTATGACAATAATAATTACAATAAGAGATAGATTGGCTAAGAGCCTGATGTGAGCTACTTTTGAAGCATTTAGGAACTAGAAAGAGTCCAATTTGGAAACCTTGTGATTATGCGGATGCAGAGCTGAGATCTTATGTATGAAAAAGAAAAATTCGAAACGAGTGGTGACTCCGGGGAAGTTCGTCCATTCTTTCTGCATTGATGTCTTCACTTTTCATCTTTGACGTCTTCACTGTTGAAAAGAGATTAAAACAATGGACTGATTACATTTTGACTGCATGTTCTATTGGATTTTATAATGTTTGCACGTTTTGCAGTAATTCTGTTGACCTGTGCGGCACGGGAATCCTATCCAGCTGCGTGCTGTGATGACGCACCAGTGGCACCTCTGCTCAGAGAGCGCATTCCACTTTGCAGCGTGCTGGGGGGGCCTCGCCTGAAACAGCGCTGGCTCTGCCTTTGGTCCCACCTGACCAATAATACAGAGAAGTTGGGCTCTGACCATCCGGTGGCCCAGTCCCCCCTCCTGCCTGGGAGCAGGGAGACGGATTGAGGCCCGTCGCCGAGACGCCTCCTGGCTTCAAGGGCAAGGGCACCAGATTGTCGAGGACAAGCATCCCAAGGTGCCTGTGGCCCAGGCCGGCATCAGCATCCCTTGACAGGGGGCATCTGGCGGCGGCCCCTGAGACTGACCACCCCTCCCCTGCCGCCTTCCTGCAGGCCCTTCCCTCGCCCGCTCCCTTGCAAGCACCTCCAGTGGTCCGGGTGACCTGGGGCGCCCAGAACTACCAGGGGAAAGTAGGTGCAGGCAGGGCTCCTTATTTTACTTTAAAAATTTTTGTATGGGTGCGTGTGCATGTGCGTGTCATGGACTGTTTCAAGAGAGGTCATGCTATGGAGTCTTTTTGGGGGTATTTTTGGAGGTTTTTTATATGTGAGTGTGTGTGTACCTGGTAGTCATGGCAACCTCTGGTGACTGACCCCTGCTGGGGGCCTGGAGGATATTCAGAGAGGTGGCCGAATAAAGCCTGCCCCTGCCTCCCAACCAGTGTTCCCTCTAAGCTGAATCAGTGTGAGCTAGCTCACAGTTTTTCAGCCTCCGGCTCACACTTTTTTTTTGGTCCTAGCTCAGGAATTAGGGCTCCAGAGCAAACTAATTGATGCAGGAGGCAAATCGCTCGCTCACGACTTTAATGCCGGTAGCTCACAAAGTAGGATTTTTGTTCACAGGACTCCACGGCTTAGAGGGAGCGTTGCTCCCAACTGCTGGCATTCCAAGGAGTTCTCCCATCCAAGTCCTTGCCAGGGTCAACCCTCCTTAGCTTCCGAGATCTGACAAGATCGGGCTTGCCTGGGCTATCCAGGTCAGGGTAGCAGGGTTCCTCAGGGCTATTTTTGGGCAGGGACGCACAGGAACGGAGTTCCGGCTGGCTTTGGAGCTGGCCACGCCCACTACAGCCAAACCTCTGCATGTGTGGCTACAGAGGGAAGTCCTGGAGAGCGATCCTTCCCCGGTGACTCCAAGGCAGACGGGCCAGGGGGGCCCTGGAAGGATCAGGGAGGCATTTAAATGCCTCCCCGTGCCTTCTGTGGTCTGTCCAAGGGCCGGCTTGCCCGGGCTCCCTGCAGCTGCGGGGCGCCTGGGCAAACCAAAGGAAGGCAGTTTAAACTGCCTTCCCTTCCCTTCAAGGGGGGGAGCTTGCCCAGGCTCCCCACAGCTGCGGGGCGCCTGGGCAACCCAAGAAAAGGCATAGGGTGTGGCCTAATATGCTAATAAGTTTCTGTTGTTGGGTGTGGCCTATTATGCTAATGAGTTCCTGCTGGGCTTTTTCTACAAAAAAAGCCCTGGTGTTCCTTATTTTCACAGCAGTGGCGCTGCCAGCCACCCCTCCTGTCCAGCGCCGTTGAGGAAAGGGCGTGCACGTGGCTGGGAGCCTGGGATAAGGGGAGGGTTGTGAGCAGGCAGGCGAAGGAAGCACAGGCAGATGCAAGGGATGTGGGTGGGTCCTGGTGGGTAGGTCGGGGGGCTGAGCTCTCTCCATCCAGGGCCCCTCGAAACCTGGAACTGGGCACCCCTGAGGCACACGGCCCGCTAGGTGGGCCTTGAGTCTGAGGCAGGGTAGAAATCCTTCACCTGGTGAAGCCCTGCTGGTGTTGCGCCACGTCCAAGAGACAGAGCTGCATCAGGAAGCCCCCGGTTGGAATCTCGTCTCTGGCCCAGGGTATGCCACATTCTCTCTGCACTCTCCACTGCAGTAGCAGGACATCAATACTCGCCTACCTTACAGCACTGCTGCTCGGATTCCGAGGTAATGATTGTGAAGCTCTGCAAACATTTAAAAACGCAACACAAATGTGCATTGTTCTCCAGAATCTAGAGCAGGGCAACCTTTGGGATGCATAGCACACAAGGCCAAGAGAGGCAACCCGCTAAGGTGCTGGAAGCACCGCTGGTACCAGCGGCATGGGAGAACGTAACAGGCCTGCCTTATGCCAGTTGTCGTCTCCTGGCAGTGCCCCTGAGGCTCAGCTGGGTCCCTGTGCGTCTGGCCAAACACAACCACCATCTCTCCTCCCTCCCTCTTTTGTTTCCCATCATGCCAGCACTTTCACAAGCAGGCAGTACATATTTTTCTGGCAGTCTGGCCAAAAAAGTCTGCTTGTCCCAATCTAGAATGCCTATCAGTGTCTACTAGTCATAGTAACTAAAGGGAACCTCCACGTTCAGAGGCACTAAACCTCTGAATCTCAGAGGAAGCAATCTCAGGGGAAGGTCTCAGCCACTATGACCCGTTGTTGGACCTCCAGAGGAACTGTTTGGCCACTGTTTGAGGCAAGATGCTGGACTAGATGGACCGCTGGTCTGATCCAGCAGGCCTCTTCTGATGTTCTTATGAAGGCCTCAGCCTCTATGACCTGTTGTTGGCCCTCCAAAGAAACTGGTTGGCCACTGTGAGAGGCAGGATGCTGGACTAGATGGACCATTGCTCTGATCCAGCAGGGCTCTTATGATGTTCTTATGAAGGCCTCGGCCTCTATGTCCTGTTGGCCATTCAGAGGAACTGGTTGGCCACTGTGTGAGACAGGATGCTGGACTAGATGGATCGCTGGTCTGATCGAGCAGCCTCTTCTGATGTGCTCATGAAGGCCTCGGCCTCTATGACCTGTTGTTGGCCCTCCAAAGAAACTGGTTGGCCACTGTGTGAGACAGGATCCTGGACTAGATGGACCATTGCTCTGATCCAGCAGGGCTCTTCTGACGTTCTTCTCAGGGGAAGGCCTCAGTCTCTATGTCCTGTTGTTGGCCGTCCAGAGGAACTGGTTGGCCACTGTGTGAGACAGGATGCTGGACTAGATGAACCCTCACTGGTCTGACCCAGCAGGGCTCTTCTGATGTTCTGATGTTCTCGCTCGTGTACACAAGTGGGCAGCCCTGTACCAGCCACATCTGAAGGGGCAACCAAGGCCTGCTGACGGTATAAAGCACAGCATGTTTCTTTTTCTTTTGTGCAGAGCGCAGATTCCCTCCAGTCCGCCATCCAGCCAGAAATGCAAATAGACCACGGAGCCATTCAGATCCAGTGAGAGGGAGCCAAGCCACGGGAGAGCAGCAGCCCCAGATCGACAGTCTCAGCCGGCAACTCTGGACTCCAGCCAAAGAGCCTGGCTTCTCTGCTTGGGGGGTGGGGGATGGACGATCTCACTGGCGTACCCTGTACATACAAGCGTGGCCCACCTCCGTGGATCTGGTCGTCGTGACTCACATGCAGACCCATCGATGAAGGTGCACCCCGGAGCCCCACGGATGGTGGCGGGAGCTGCCATATTTTCACTCCAGGAGAAAAAGACTCCAAATACGTGAGGTTTAGCCATACTCCTTGTTTTATAAAGCAAATAATCTTGCAGGGGGCGGAACCTAGTTAAATTAATTAATCAAGCCATTTACAAGCATTAACATACCATTCTTGCATTTGTTCTATGACTCATACTCCTGAAAGCGTGTAGATACCTTATCGGACACACGGCTGTCTTGCAGCACAGACCCCTCACCACACCAAAAGAATCAAGAGTGCAAAAATATATTTTGCTGATCAGAGAAGATTTTTTTATTCGCTATGTTGTTTATAACGAAAATGAGATAGAGAGAGAGAGAGAGAGATGTATTTAAGAAAGAAGGGAAATGGGGGGAAGGTCCATTATTACAAACATTAGCTATTTTGCCAGTGGTTGTTCTGTTTCAAGATAATAAAATAAAAAGTATTTACAAAAAAAGAAAATAAATTTAAAAAAACCAACCCTCACCAGAAAAGCCCCAGCCCTTCCTTTGTTTGTACTGTTGCTTAACTAGTTTTCTAAGGGGAAAGCTACTATCCAACACTGTAATTATGCATTTCTAAGGAAATAAATGTGTATTTATGAACAACACTGTGACGACCTCCTTATTCTGGAGGACTGGTTTCCCTTTAAAAGTGTTCTTTTTATTTTGGTCTACTGGGTATAAACGGCTGCCACCAGGAAATTTAAGGCTTTCCAAACCTTTATACTTTACTGTTGCTCTTACTAGATAGGTAGTCCGAGTTCAAGGCTTATGAGGAACTATGTGGTCCTGAGGAAGTATTTCTTTCAGAGCTGGTATATTTGAATAAAAGAGGATTTATTGAAATAATCTCTCCTTATATATAATTGAATAGTGGGTGCCAAAGTTCTAATTCTAAAATGCACTCCCTTAGTGTATGGCTGATGGCACTGCTCCTCAGCATATATCGCCACCAATCAGAAGGCAAAGCCCGGGTCCCGCCCACACCACAACTGCTGCGACAACCTGGTCTTTTGCATATGGAAGCTGATTGGACTTCAGGCCATTCCCCCCCCCAAACCCCCCCCCCCCCCCGCAAGGCAGTTGGTCCTTTCCTAAACTTTGTCTTCAATTACTTTCATTTATTTTTTCTATTCTCTCAGCCTTCCTTCCGTTTCTCACGTCCTTCACATACAGAACTAACTGCTTGTCTCTCTCATTCCCCACACAGAACTCCTCAACTGTCAAACCTGTAACTGTAACCTCTGACTGACATACAGACATATCCACTCATTCTCACTTCCAAAACCCCTCCCCCTCTCTGTCAGCCACCAATCATACCACACTTGCTTCTCTCAACCACTGTAGTCTACTTACCACAGCCATGCAACCAAACTTTTAAAGAGACACACACACACCTAAAACAAGGAATCATTACAAGCACCTTTCTCTTCTTCACTCTTCATCCTTTCATTAGATCCCCTTTGGCTTCCAGGTAGGGTGCCCTCGACTCCTACATTAATTTCAAGGTTAAAATATTTCACCTGTCTGCTGCCGCGATGTCAGTGCAGGGGGGCGGGGGTTAAGCTTCCTCCCACCCACCACCCACCCCCAGCGGTGTGCAGCATCCAAGCTGCATCTCTAATTGAAAGCTGAATTAAAGTGTGGGGGGTGACTCAGTGGAAGAGCCTCTGATTTGCATGCTGAAGGCTCAGTTCAATCCCCGGCAGCATCTCCAGTTAAAAAGGAACAGGCACCCTGATCTGAGTAGCCCAGGCCAGCCTGATCCCGTCAGATCTCGGAAGCTAAGCAGGGTCGACTCTGGCAAGTCCTTGGATGGGAGACCTCCTTGGAATACCAGTAGTCGGGAGGCGGGGGCAGCCACCTCTCTGAATATCCTCCAGGCACCCAGGAGGGGTCAGTCACCACTGAGGTCGCCATGTCTTCTAGGTGCACACACACACGTATGCACATATGATTAATTTTTTTTAATAAAAAAGGAACAGGCAGCAGGGGATGGGAAGGATGTCCGCCTGAGACTCTGGAGAGTTGCTGCCAGCTTGAGTGGACAACACTGAGGAGGAGGAGGAGGAGATTGGATTTATACCTCGCCCTCCACTCGGAGTCTCAGAACAGCTTACAAACTCCTTTCCCTTCCCTTCCCCTCCCCACAACAGACACCCTGTCAGGTAGGCGGGGCTGAGAGAGCTCTTTCAAGAACTGCTCTTTCAAGAGCAGCTCTGACAGAACTATGGCTTGCCTGAGGTCATCTAGCAGCTGCAAGTGGAGGAGTGGGGGGATCAGACCCAGATTAGAGTCCACACAATTAACCACTACACCAGATTGGCTCTTGAAGGACCCAGGGTCTGAGCATCCCGCCTTTCTGTCCTTACAAGAGCCACCAAGACAACTCACAATATAAAACATAGATGATAACAACAACATCTTAAAACCATTAAAATCAGCACATTCCCAGCACACATTTATTTATTTATTTGGACTTCTATCCCGCCCTCCCCGCAAGCAGGATCAGGGCGGATTCCAATAATATAAATACAATATATAATACAGTTAAAACCACTTAAAACAACAGTATAAAACAACATCGTTAAAACATCCTTAAAATGGAGTTAAAACACGTGCAAAACATAAAACCAGCAATTAAAACATTGATTAGGAAGAAGGGATCACGGGGGAATGCCAGACAAAACAAAAATCTTCTGTTGCAGACAGAGGATGGTATCAGAAGGGGACAGACAGATCGCTCTGGGTACAGAGTGCCAGAGATTTGGTGCCGTAACCCAGAAGGCCCTCTTCCAGGTTGTAAAGGTAAAGGTTTCCCTCGCTCGAAAGCCAGTTGAATCCGACTCTAGGGGGTGACGCTCATCTCCGTTTCCAAGCCAAAGAGCCAGCACTGTCTGAAGATGCACAGAACTCTGTTAATTTGCACGTGGATAAATAGGTACCGCATCAGTGGGAAGGTAACAGCTTCCAGATTGACACCCACCTAATCTCGGGGGGGGGGCACCTGAGGAGTGCCTCCGAAGATGACCATAGTGGCCGGACAATTTCATAAGGGAATAGTGCTTCTTGTCAACCAGCATCAAATCCAACATTTTATTTTATTTTGTAGTTGCACAAATGCTGGAAACCTGGAGCCCCTGAATTCCCAACATCAGAAATAATAACTCTTGTAATCTGCAGAGCGTCGAAAATTGCCTTGGGAACCATATGGATTGAAGTCGCAATACTTTGTCTGGATATCGCCCCCCGGGGGGGGATGCAAGGGGTATTCCTGGGAAATCAAGCCTCGGACCTAGGCACACATTTGTCACACACTGGAATGAGCAAAGAGTTTGTTATAAGAAGTGAAGCTCAGTCTTTCAAGAGATTGATTCTGTAGCACAGTGAATCAGTGGTACTCAGTACACACTAAAAGCAACAGCGTAGAAATGTCTCAGGGTGGAATGCAATTAGCCATTTACAATGTGGCAACAAGTTCAGGGTTAACACCCTTATTCTTGTAAAATAGCGTCCTGGGGATTTTCAGTAAAGTTGTCTTCCGCAGTATGATAAATTTGGCTAGAAGGGGAAGGGAAAAACCCCCACACTTTTTCTCTCAGCTGCAGATATACACGGGAAATTGCAATCAGGGGGGAAATTTATTTGACTGAACTAAAAATGTGTTCTGGGCTTGACAGTCTAGTTGTGGATTATTGTGTTTTTTCTCCCTCTTCTGCTGAGCTTAATAATAAATTAAAGGCTGGTAAATAGAAAGCCGGGCTGAACAAACATGAAAGATTGATAGAAACCCTAAGCTGTGAGGATGAAGATTTACGAGGTTTGACCTGCCAGTTTATCCAGACTTCCTGCATGACCTTGAACTTCATCACTTACCTTTGAGACCTGGAATCCTCTTCTGAAAAATGGAAATAAGTGGGGCTTTAAAAAATTCCATATCCCGTTCCAAGAAAAGTCAAATCCTGCAACCAGACTATATCATGTTCAAAAAACTTTGTGAATATTTGCTGATATGGAGAAATTGCAGTTAGGGAGAAAACTGTCACATTTCAAGGCAGACAAAATAATGGTGTCCATACGTGACAAGTTCATACAGTTTTGGGATGGAGCAGAACAGATGTTCTCCACTATATCACTGACAAATTATAATCTGGACCCTCTCTAAAAACAAGTGCTACTACGTTTAGACAGGAGAGACAACATTAAACTTCCCAAACTTGTCAAGAATGAGGTTGGGTGGAAGGGCTTATGGATTCCATTAAAGGTCCCCCTTAATGGAACAGAACAGACAATTTTATATGTGGACATCACCAGAAGGCCAATATAGAAATAAAATAGATTACTTAATCAGAAGATGGAGAAGCTCTGTTCTCTCTGCTAAGACAAAACTCGGAGCTGATTGTGGTGCAGACCAAGAATTGTCAATCTTGTTGACAAATAAAGCCGAAGATAAACACCAAAACATTCCTAATCGAAAGAGTTTGAAGACCATGTAAGTTCAAGTGAATGGGATACTATCAAGAAAGTATGTGCAAAGCCTATTCCTGTAGCCAAAAGAAATGAAAAGCCTCAATGGGTAACTGATGTAGCTCTTAAAATTGCTAAAGAAAGCCATGAAGCAAAAGCAAAGGGTGACAGAAATAGAATCAGAAGTCTAAATGCAGCATTCCAGCAACTTGCATGTAGAGACTGAGGGAACTGTTATAATGACCAGTGTAAAGAAATAGACGAGAACAACAAAAAGGGAAAAACAAGAGATCTGTTCCACAGGATCTAAGAAATTAAAGGGAAATTTAAAGCATGGTTAATAATGAGGAAAGATCAGTGTGGAAATACATGAACTGAACAGGACAAAATAAAGAAAAGACGGGGACAATACACTGATGTATTGTCTACAGAAGAGATAAAAGGATGACAGATTCTTTCTAAGAAGAATCGTTTGAAGAAGAACCTACAGTTTTAGAAAATTAAGTAAAAACTGCACTGAGAGCAATTAGGAGAAACCAACCACCAGAAGTAGATGGGATATCAGAGCCATTCCAAGCCACAGAAATGGAGTCCCATCAAAATCCTAACAAGAATATGCCAACAAATATGGAAAACAAAACAACGGCCCACACATTCCAGTTCCGGGGGGGAAATATGTCAAAAACTGCAGCAACTATTGAACCATCGCATTGAAGGAGACGAAGACTGGGAAGGGCAGCTGTGAAGGAGCTAGAAAAGATTATTAAGTGTAAGGATGTGTGG